GGCTGCGAAATAATGGATCACAGGATATTCCTACCTGGAACTTAAGAGTTCTGTGTGGTTGGCAGTTCTGTCGACAGAACTGCAGAGCTGTGCTGTCTGGGTGGGGTTTCTGGGTGGTTATCTACTTCAGTGGAGGTCTAAGCATAGCAGGGGTGACAGCCAAAGATGACCTCCTTAGCTGGGTAGGAAAGGTACAGCATTTGGGGACATGTTTGAGGACGTCTGTAGGTGAGTATTGAAAAAGAATTGAAGAAATAACAAGCACTGTGTGTCTTACAGACTTGTATGTTGAGAGGTAAAAGACTTCAGGCCTTAGAGAAAAAGACAAAAGAGAAAAGCATGGCCATAAACCAGGTGAGGGTCTCAACAAAAAGCATTAGCTTCTCTCTGGGGGACTTGATTTTATGAAACCACATATATAAAACAAAATATTTTGGATTATGAGGGGCAGGAAAGCTTTCAGAAACTGGTCTGAGTTGGTCTTCTCACAAGCTTTAGAGTGGCTTTTACGGATTTTGAGTTTTCCATTTGTTAAGCTGTCCTCAAATACTGATTCTAATGAGTGTGTTACAATCACAGTAGAGTCTCTAGCTTCACAGTCAAAACTGGCCAGGCACGCTTGAGTATTCTCATATCTGAATGTTGTGATTATCTGCATTTAAATAAAAAGTTTACTGATTGTTTGTTACTGGCAGAATCTGATTTTTACCAGTGTACTGTTTTTTTGTAATCAGTCCTTGATGGAATAAAAATTTGCATCCTGTCTCTCCGTGGAAGGTTTTGTATCCTTCTCCCACGCTGGAAGCCCAAGGCAGGGAGGGCAGGAATTCAGCTCCTGTGGGTGGTTCCTGGGCCGCGGGGGGCAGGGCCCTGCAGCCCCTCGGGGCAGAGCTGGGCTCCCGTACCAGCTCGGCTTAGGGCAAGCCCCTGCCTGTGTCACTGCTCCAGGGGCTGCAGGTGCGGGGGGTGAGAGCAGCACTGCTCACAGCAGGAGAGGAGCCCGGAACCCCGGGCACGGTGGGTGCCCAAGAGGGGGAATATGAGAGTGAAGCAGGAGTGGGCAGAGCAGGGGTGGGCTGAGCTGGGGGTTCAGGCAGCCCTGAGGGCAGCACAGCACGATCTGTGGGGCTGCAGCTCATGGGAGATCAAGGCTTGTTCCCACACTCAACAAACTGGCTATAGCCAGGCTGCCTCAACTCCGACCATGACTGATGTAGGTAACAGGTTAGGAACAAGTGATACCTGGCAAGGATCAGAAGGAGCAGCTTTCCCCAGTGAACCAAGCTGGCTGCATCCCCTCCAGCTGCCATCGGGCAGGGCAGGGTGACCGCCGACAGTGGGGGAGAGCATGTATCCCAGGAGACTGGCCTTGGCCAGGCAAGTTTCCCTGGTGCCTGAACAGCCTTTGCCTTGGGATATCTCAGGAGTGGGATCTGACTCAGGATAGATCAGGAGCGGGATCTGACTCGGGACAGTTTCCGGTTTCCAGCTGGAAACCCTTCCCCCTTGTCCCATCCCTCCCTGCCCTTGTCCAAAGTCCCTTCACAGCTTTTCTGGAGCCTCTTCAGGCACTGGGGTGACCTGCTGGAGAGCAGCTCTTAAAAAAAGGACCTCAGGGTCCTGGTGCACAACAGGCTGACCATGAGTCAATAATGTGCCTTTGTGTCCAAGCAGGGCAATGCCATCCTGGGGTGAATCAAGAAGTGTGACCAGGAGGTCAAAAGAGGTTCTCCTCCTCCTCCACTCTGCCCTGGTGAGACCACATCTGGAGGACTGTGTCCAGTTCTGAGCTCCCCATTGATGAAGGACAAGAAACTGCTGAATAGAGTCCAGCACAAGGCCATAAAGGTGATGAGGGAACTGAAGCATCTGGGCTGTGAGGAAAGGCTGAGAGAGCTGGGGCTATTCAGCTTGGAGGAGATCAAGGGGGGGTCTCATCAGTGCTTATCAATATCTCTAGGAGGTGTCAGGAGGATGGGACCAGGCTCTTCAGCAGTGTCCAGTGACAGGACCAGGGACAATGGGCACAAGCTGGAGGACAGGACGGTCCAGCTAAACATAAGAAAATACTACTTTTCTGTGAGGGTGACAGAGCCCTGGGACAGGCTGCCCAGGGAGGTTGTGGAGTCTCCATCTCTAAAGACATTCGGAACCCACCTGGATGTGTTCCAGGGGGATTTGTTGTAGGTGACCCTGCTTTAGCAGGGGGTTGGACTAGATGATTTCTACAGGTCCTTTCCAACTCCAACCACTCTGCAACTACTAGAAGGTGCTCTAAGATCTCCCTGGAGCCTTCTCTTCTCCACCCCCAACTTTCCCAGCCTGTCTCCAGAGCAGAGCTGCTCCAGCCCTCCCATCATCTCTGTGGCCTTCTCTGGACTTACTCCAACAGCTCCATGTCCTTCTTGTGTTGAGGACCTGTGTTGGTTTGGTGTGCTTAGTGGACCTCCCCATGCCCTCCCACCAGAAAAGGACAGGGTGGATTACTGAGAGCACTCTCTGCTTGAGATAATGGATTTGCTTCTCTGAGCAGTTCGCATGGGGAACACCCCTCTCAGGGTGATCTCAGGGGATCCACCAACTGCTGGATAGGAACTTAGGGAGTGACAAACCCCAATTTAAATCATGCCATGCCCACGAAATACTCAGGACACATTATAAAATAAAGAAAGGTGAATGTAATGAGGACTTATGGATGTGAGTACAAAGTTCAGGAAAGTTAAGGGCTTTAAAAGGGAGAGTGGAATGAGTAGGTTTGTGTGTGTTCTTGTTTAGACTCTGCCCAGAAAGCTAAGTATTGCAAAGAGAGGAAAACAAAGATAAGATAGAGGAAGGTGTTTAATTGAGCCTGACACTGTATCCTCCTCTATTGAGGTCATAGAATCATAGAAACACAGAATCATGCAACTATTCAGGTTGGAAAAGACCCTTGAGATCACCTAGTCCAACCATCATCCCTACTCCACAAAGTTCTCCTGTAAACCATATCCACCAACACCACATCCAAATGACCCTTAAACACATCCAGGGATGGTAACTCAAACCACCTCCCTGGGCAGCCTGTTCCAGTATCCAACTGCTCTTTCTGTGAAAAAATCCTTCCTAATGTCCAGTCTAAACCTGCCCTGTTGCAGCTTGAAGCCATTGCCTCTTGTTCTGTTGCTAATTGCCTGTGAGAAGAGACCAGCACCAACCTCTCTACAATGTCATTTCATGTAGATGTATAGACTGATGCCTCAGCCTCCTCTTCCTCAGACTGAACATTCCCAGTTCCTTCAAGTGTTCTTCATAAGATTTATTTTCTAGGCCCTTCACCAGCTTCATTGTCCTCGCTCCAGCACCTCGGTATCTGTCTTGAATTGAGGTGCACCAAACTGGACACAATACTCCAGGTGTGGCCTCACCAGTGCTGAGGACAGGGGGACAATCACCTCTCTGCTTCTGCTGGTCACAAAAACAGCCTATACTACATTATGACAGATTGATATGCACATCTGTCTGCACAGATGTTTGTGCTGCATGCAAGTATAGTTTAAAGAGGCCACATCCAGAGCAATAGAACCTCAGCTCCATATGTGCAGTTTCTCCTACTGCACATAAACACAGAGTTATGTAAATATTTGTGCAAATTTATGTAACATGACATAAAATTCAGAAAGCTACTATAAGTAATTATGATAATTATTGCAGCATAGGTTCTGCTGATTTACAGAGTAGGAACTAGGCCTTCTGCTCTGTAATATTACAGTCTAAGACCCAAGAAGGTACTAACTGAATTCTCAAGATCATGAATAAAGATGTTAAACAGAAACAGTCCCAACACTGAGCCCTGAGGAGCACCAGTTGTGACCAGCCCCAGCTGGATTGGACTCCATTGACCACCACTCTCTGGGCCCAACTGTCCAGCCAGTGCTTGGTCCAGCAGATCTTTTGCTCATCCAGGCCATGAGCAGCTCATTGTTTTTTATAAACATTCTATGGGGAACAGTGTCAAATGCTTTTTGGAGATAGACAATATCCACAGCCTTTCCTTCATCCAACAGTCGGGTCATCATGTCATAGAAGGTGATCAGATTCGTCAGGCAGGACC